TACAGCCCTTTAAGGTTTGTATAAAACCTGACTATAAAGTCAAATTCTCAAAACAGGCCTTTGCTTGCAAAGACACAAAATAAGGCAGGAGGCTCCATGCCAGCAGGTGACTTTTGCTAGACTCACTGAGCACCTTGGTAAATTCAGAGGGGCTTACGAGCTGGGAATCAATAGTCTCCCCTAGTAGAGGCTAATCAGCATTTCAGTATCAAGGAAGCCCCAATAAGGTCAACAACCAATGCTCTAGACAGAAAACCTCAAAAAAAATCATGAACATTTCCCAGCTAAGAGATCCTACAGGCAGCATTTCATTTCTTTTCAATATACATCAAACAGCAAATAAATATATCATGGTCATCTCAAGTTACCCAAAAGGATCAATGAAAACCATCCTATTCTGCTATAGAATAGGAGACAGCTGGTTCTCATCTGAGTAAGAATTCTTACTTCAACTTCTATCTTTTCTCTTACATCACACGACTCTCCATCCAGCTGCAGTAAAAAGAGCATAGAACAAGCTACGAAAATATTTTCCATCCTGTGAGGTTGGTTGAAACTGCAACAGGTTGTCCAGAGGGGTTGTGGAGTCTCCAGCTGTTCAAAACTTGACTGGACATGGTCCTGGGCAACCTGCTGACTCAGCTTGGGCAGGAGGATTGGACCAAAGGATCTAAAGAGGCCCCTCCTGACCTCAGCAATTCATCTAACATGGGACTACAACTGCTCTTTTCAATCTATGTTTGCTTTATGTTGACCTGAAGTGACATCAGCCCTATAAGCCAAGCAGCCAGGCTACCTGGAAAGCCTCCAAGAGAAACGAAACGGGTGTTTAAGTTAAGATGATGATTCAATAACTGACATGCTTCTCCGTGAACTGGAGCTCAACCAACATCTTCCATTGCAAATAGCTCAGATAGTGCCCATCATATTTATGCACATAATCAAGAAAAAAAACCCTCCACATGCAAACTCTGTGCAGCTTTAAGCTGAGTGCTCACACTTGTAAAAATGTTTAATTGAAAATTTTTGTGTGAAAATATATCGATGATCTGATTATAAGCAAAGAATAAGAAAAAAATCAATGTAGGTCTCTACAGTCCAGTTTCCTCAGAAAAGGCAAGATTGCACAGTAGAATACACAGGGCTGGAGACAGACACAGAACAGTACGGCCCTTTCTAAGTGACATATAACAATTTTTTAAATGAAATTAGGGCTTCCCCAAGCAATTCTGATGCTTAGGAACATCAGAGTTCAAAATCCCAGTCTCTAACTACTTTTGTAGGGCAGATGGCAACAAGATGCCCAAATCCCATGTCTTCCAATGACATTTGGGCRCCTGTCCAATATTTGCTCTTTTGAGACTTTCTTCATTCCATTTATAGGTATGAAGAGCACACACAGAAGCCAGAAACAGATACTATTTGCCACTCTGCTGTCAGATTCCAGTGCAGGGTATCAGTATATCTAATGGCTTTTTAATTGCTTTGAACTTGCAGTAAGGGTGCATTATACACACATGAATGTCTGAATTAACAGCATTCAGAAGCACCAGGAAAAATATTTGCTGGCAAATTAACTGCATATAATCAATGCCAAATAAAAAATGCACTCTGGTCTTGGTGAAGTAATTCAGTACTGTACAGTTCTCATGAAGTAAATATTTTTGAAGGTGGGGAAAGCTCTGAGATTAAGCAATACTTTTTTTTTTTTTTTGGATCAAATGCCAAAACCCATAGGTAAATAGGAAACAGACATCAGTAATTACAGTTCGTACTTCAGCTATTTCAAAACCTCTTGCTTCAATGAACAAGTATTAACTGGACAGACACTCCTTCACAAATTAGAGGTTGCTAAGGCTTATTACACACCGTATTTATCTTTGAAACTTGTCCAACAGAATTAAACTAAAAAAAACATAATGATACAGGTTATGGTTGCAGGCAAAAAAACTATTAAAACTGTAACAACTATATATATATATGTTTTTATCTGTCAAACTGTCCCTGCAGCCACTCTTTGGTTTAGAAGCTCAGGAATGCAGTATTTTGAAACACTGGCAATTGTATTAGTGTGCTGTTGTCAAACTTTAAACCAAGTGTGTTTTCCAGGGGAGTTTTAATAAATAATTACAAGAATAATTTTGTTCTTAGGTTTTTAGACCTGGGAACACAATAGATTTGCAAGAACAACAGTCTGGGCTACCACCAGACGGGGTAGAAATGAAAAGGTGTGACATCTGCCTGAGCGAGAAGCTTGTACTGAAGGGACCTCTGCACTGCTCAGTGAAACGGCCTGGAGAGCTGCACATTGTCACCCAAGTCCACCGTAAAACCAAAAGCAAATGAACCCACTGCCTACGTTGAAGGGCCAACTGAGCCAAGAGGCCTTGTTGGCCAAGTTACACACGTGGCTTGGCTACAATCGAGCCTGAGATACAGCCCTAGCTCAAAGAGCAGCGGGTAGTTGTGGGAGGACATTTCCCTTTGCAAAACCAAGTTTTGCTCTTAACAGCAGCGGCTTAGGAAGGTGCCAACACTTTCTGAAACTGCTACCCAGTGCAGCTAAGGGAACTGCATGGTAGTTTGAAGAAATATGAAACTAAGAGAGGAAAAAAAATGAGGTAAAAGTAAAAACATGCACAGACTTAWGTTACTTAAGSCTTACAAGTGCAGGAAGAAGCTTAAGGATTTGTYATTATTGACCCAATCCGAGATAACAAATATATAKSMA